TCTAAGGGAAGACGGTGAGTCTAAGACAGATCTTGAGAACACAGGAAGCTTCTGTTTTGATGATGGTTACATTTATCGAGGAGGGTGTATCTGAGAGGGCCTTGAGAGGAACAGCAGCATGCATCAGACACCTCCCACTCACCTGGACACAAGAATCATAAACCAGGTGTAAGCTCTTCATTTGAAATCCTTTTCTTACTTGCTTTAATTTCTTAGGGTTAAATTGGAATATCAACCACAATCCAATGTAACTGGCATTTTTGTGAGGCTAAATTGAAGCAATGTTAGGTTTCTCCTAAATAATCCAATGTTCCAAGGAAAATTCCTTAGAACAATTAAATTTAGTAGAGTTAATTCGAACAAAACAAAAGTTATTTGTGAATCAGGCACTCTCAAAAGCACATCAAGTTCTGAGAATCCAGCCAACGTTAGACAGCATTTTCAGGAAAACTTAAGTGCAGAAAAGAAGCCCTGTTCCCCCTACCTCAATAAGCCCACTGGGGCAGGCCAGGAGCAGAAGCCACTGGCCCTGTTGCCATCAAGGGAGCATTGGTAAGCTGCCATGCATACCTCTCCGCCACCCCAGCAACCTCGGACTGCAGGAACCCAGGTGCCCAGCCCAATCCCCCGACCTGGGACTCAGCAACAGGCTAATTCGCAGGAACACAGGAAAATGTCAAGACGAAGGAGCAAGGTGGAATCTCAGACTTCCAACCCACCCAGAACAAGTCCAGGAGGCATAGACACTAAAGAAATTAGAGTCACACACCTGAAATTCCTGAAATGATAGCAACTGAAGTAAAAAAGACAATTTATTGCTTGTATTGTTTGGTTGAGTTTGTATGCCTATATCTGGTGGTCTGAGCAACTTCAGAGTATAACAAGTGCAATACAGTAACTATTGTTGATTTTCTACTGCCTTGCTTTTGAGACAAAAGCTCCTTCTCATTGTTTCGTTTCATTTCATTTTATTGTTTTGTTTTATTCTCTAAAAAAAAAAAAAAGAAAGAAAACTGAACAGCTAGAGTCTAGTCGATTAACTGGCCAGCTGGATAAAGCTTAACTAGTTAATAGTTTAGAACTTACTCATTAATTAACCACGGAACATTCTGCAATGAAGTTCCATTACTGTGATTAAACTTGCTGACCAGTCCATCAGAACCATCACAGGTGACCATTCCAAATTGATGACCTCATAGAAAATATCAACACCACACAACAACAATTAACACTCTTCTGGAATGACTACAAAACAGCACCACGGATCAGGACTGATTTTTTTTTTCCACCATGAGATAGATCACAAAAATGATCTGCACTCAGAGTTATGAAAATATATATACAGGCTAAACCCAACTTCCAGGCTACAAGTCTGTTGTTACAGGACCCAGGTAGGAGCACTTGAAGAAATGTTACAATGTTTCTCCTGCTTATTAAATATTTCAACAGTTTTCTTTCTTCCTAGCTATCAGCTTTTTCTTGGAAAGGCTTGCAATGTGCAATAACAAGTACTTTGATTATAAACTCTTGTAAACACATACTGGGAGCTCTGCAGAGTGGAATTTAAGTGTGTGCACTGAAGGAATACATAAATTCATTATTCTCATTCCTTAATCTAGTAAACACACTTATTTTGGGAAGATTATTTCTAAGACTCAGTTTCTAGTAACAAAATAGGGACTGTGAATGCATCCAATTTCTAAAATCATGAGGATTACATGAGATATTGTACATGAAGTTACAGCTCAATATAGCTTAGCTATTACTATTTTATTTAATTTGGTCAATGCTTTCTAAATTCTGAAAACATCCAGTGCGTGCATCCATAACTGCAATGTTCTAATATGCTTGGAGGACCCGCTGGAGTGCTGAAAACCCTAATTAACTGAGGCCTCTAGAGAACAAAATCAGTTATTACAGAAGGCGCTTGTTACATTTTATGTCTAGATATACCCCCAAAGCCTCATGTACTCACATGTGGGGCTTTTAAGGAGTGACAGGATCATCAGCGTGTGAAGCTGGATTAGTCTATGATGAGTTTAAAATTGGGTGCGATGGTGAAAGGGGGGCCTGATAGGAAAAAGTGAGTCACCGTGGGTGTGGTCTGGAGCTTTTATCTCCCTCCTCATTCCTTGATTCCTTTCTTCGTCTTGTCCACCCTGAAATGGACTTCCTCCTCTGCCAAGCCACCTTGCCTTGGAGCCAGCTGACTATGGTCTGACATCTCCACAAACTGTGATCTAAAATAAATCACTCATCCTTTAAACTGCGGGTGTGGAGTATTATGTCTCAATAATAATCAGAAAGTGATTTAGTCTGCAACTGTCACAAAGGAACCCAAATTCCAGGAAGACACCCAAATGAGACTTTTTCAATAGTCTCAGAAGAAAATAAGTAACAAATAATCTTTCATAATATTTGGAAATTTTAAGATTTTTAGTGACAACAATTAGTTTAGGAGGACCAGTATTTCTGGTGGTTTAGAGTGCCTTTCTTTCCATCTGTCTGTCTGTCTGTCTGTCTGTCTTCTTCCTTTCTCTGAATTACTGGTATGGTGACATCCGGCTGTGTTGTTACATAACGACCGTTTTACAATGTAGATGGTTTGCTTAGCTGTAACAAAAGGCCAGACCTAGCTGGACATGGGAACTAGAACATGGCAGGTTTTCTCAGTCTTGGGTGGCACTGAAATCCATTTATCTTTTGTGCTTCTACAATGGCTGAGATCATAACGCTTCAAAACACGCTTGAGGTTCTCACCTTCTCTTTTCCTGGCCCCTGCTATAAAGTGGTTTCTGGTAATAGATGCAGGAGGGACCCTGAGTTTTGCTCATAATCAGAAACCTCATTTGATGCTCCATCCTGCACAGTCAGACTGATCCCTTCTCATTTTGAACTAGCCTCTTTTCCAGGTAGCTGGAGGGCATGGGGTTCAGGCCCTGGTCTGGGGCAGTGGCTCTCAAGTGTCAAGGCAGGAACTTCTGTGCCTGCTCCTTCTGGATTCTCTGCCTTTCTACTGTAGAAACAGGAAATTTAGGAAATTCTGTCATATCGAAAACACCCTTTAAGGAGCAGTCTTAGACAGTCAGAGAGGTTAAGGTCTGAACTAAGACAGAGAGTCAGTCAGAGGTCTGCCAGGAGAGAACCGGACTGCTTCACTTCTGGGAGTCTTATATTTCAAAACTGCAAAGGCCCTAACAGCCATTCCTGACAGCCTTCTGCCGTGGTAACCACCGCAGGCCCCTGCTGGGGCAGGATGTTTCCAGTTGCCTGTTAGTCTAACAGAGTGAGGGAGGTTTTGAACTCTTAATTTTCAGTTTCAAGGCAACTGAAAAACGTACTTAAAAGCCAGCTTATCCTATAAAACTGGAATTTAAAATCAAAGGGGAAATAATAAAAAGGAAAGAAAAATCAGCTTGGTTAACAGTTTAAAATTCGTTCATTTAAGACTACAATTTTTTGATATTATTAACAATGTATGTTTTAGGAATGTGAAACTGTTTTCTAATAGTTTTGTGTATGCATGATAGAGTTCACTCAAATCAATTCCACTGCTCCACTGATGTGAGTGGTGTGTTGCAAAACAATTATCTTTAAGTATATGAAGCTTCGGGAATGAAGTTCTCTTAATCGTTTGTACCAGATTACTTTGGAAACCCATAATGCAATATAGTGAAAAAGATTATGAACATCACAGAGGTACGCACACACACACACAAGAACCATTACAGCTGCCACAAATGAATCAATTTTCTGGGACTAAATCTATCACTGGGTTATGGTTAACTTATACCTAAACATTCTGCAGCTTTTGATCTCTGTGAAAGAGAACATTGGTAACTAGTGTAACAAAAATAAAGCTATGGTCAAAGAATCATGATATTCAAACAGTGTTTTTCTGATATGTACTTTAAAATTCTTTGTAACTTATAAAATTTATCAAAAATGCCAGAAAATATGCAGATAGATGACGAAGTTGCCAGTCGACATCAAGAGTGGCTGGTAGAAAGATTTTGTTGAATTATATGGGTTTGAGGGAAAACCTATGGGCAAAAAGCACCTTATGAGTAACGCATTAATATAAGCAACAATGAAACACATTTCAAGTTATTACTTTATCCATTTTGATACTAACATGTATCTTTACAGATCACACTGTAAGTGGTGAAGTTGCTCTTAAACTGAATGATCAACCTTAAGAAGCTTTGAGCAGATGAGATTCCTAGGACTCAAAATACAATTGCACTCAACTTTGTTGGTGAATATTGGTATTATTTGTATTTTATAGCAACTTTGCAAATTTAGCCATAATTTAAAATATCATTAATTTTACCCAAAGTATTTTGGTTTAATTAGGATTGCAGCTGAAAACAGAAACATGCTTTTTAGTTTACAAACCACAGATGACCACCCTCGCCCCTCCCTGGTTACCAACTGAAAATGGTTTGATTGTGTAAAAGAAATCCAGATACCTGGTCAGAACAACTGAATACTTATATATGGAAAAAAAAAAAAAAGCAGTACATGCTATTTTTAATATTCTTTATAATAAAAACCATCTTTCACATATCTACAGCCTAGTTGGGAGAAGATGAGGAATAAACGAATGCGTTCCGTTTCTGTTGTATTTCTAACAAAACAGAGCTGACAACGTTCTCCTCTGTCCCCAGAGGAAATGCGCTGAGCTGCGCTTCTGGGCAGCTGGTGCGCGGCGGCCAGGCAGGGGGCCCACATGGCCGGGAAGAGCCCGGGCTGGCAGGGTGCAGTCCAGGTTGGAGGTCTGCGGAGCGCGGCGCCGTCCTCGTGGGACCCCAGGCCACAGGACCCAGGACCCAGGACCCAGGACCCAGGACCCAGGACCCAGGACCAGGACCCAGGACCCAGGACCCAGGACCCAGGACCCAGGACCCAGGACCCAGGACCCAGGACCCAGGACCCAGGATCCCACGACCTAGGTCCGCGCCCCCGCAAGACAGGGGTCCACCGAGCCGCGCACCTACCTGCCTGGCGTAGAAGCCCGCGGACGGTTCCCAGCAACCCTCCGCTTCCGTCCCTCCTGGCCGGCAGGTCACGGGTGTGCAGTGGAGCCAGGCGCGCCCCAGCAGCAGACCAGGCGCCCCAGAAGCAAATGAGGCGCTCCCTCCGCGCTCCGTTCTGAGTCACAGCGCTCGGTTCAGAGCCGGCGCGCAGCGCGGCGCGTGGGAGGGGAGGGCAGGGCGCACTCCAGGGCTCAGCGCTCTGAGGTCTGCACAGACGTGGGTGGGCACCCTGGAAGGCATGCCCTCCCGAGGCTGTGCCAGTTCAACCCAGCCTCCACCACTTAGCGATTTCATAGCACCCTGTCTCAAGATTATAATAGAGACAGATATGATAGATAGATAGATAGATAGATAGATGATAGAGACTGGAGATGCAGCTTAGTGCGAGCGTCCTACTTCAATCCCTGGTAGTGCAAAAAGAAAAGAAATACACCTGTCTGTCTGTCTGTCTATCTTTTTTCTATCCAGCTGTCTCCAATCCACACCCACGCACCGCCCTGAAGTTCGGCTCACTTGCCCAACATCAGGGAGGCAGTATTAAGGAGAAAGTAATTTCGAAAAACCAAATGCATCTCTCGCTCTTGTGTGTCTCTGCCTAAATCACTGGAACATGTGGAACAGATGATAAGGCTACCTGTGAGAGAGAGCTCTAGAGCTTTTTTTAATTTTTAAATTAAGGTTGCTTAGTTTTAGATTAAAGTTGCAGGTTCTCCTGTTCTCTCCGCTAGACCCCCATGGTGTGTGTGTGTGTTAAATTTGAACTATGACTTTGTTGAGGATCAAAGAAGGACAATATCTCCCAAGACTTTAGCAGGTTAAAATTCAAGGTAGGGATAACAGACTTTATCAAGCTACCAAAGGCACAGAAAGTCAGGGAAGGCAAAGCCATGAATCACGGTAACCGTCAGTAGGAATGGCTGAGTATGCTTCAGTTGTGTGAAGTAAAGCTTTGAAAACAAAGACACTCTGAGATTCATCAATTCAGGTGTAAGAAAGCATGCACGGGCCACTCTCCTTACATCCTCTCGCCACCATTTAAAGTCATCAGAATGGGTGAAAGGGTGGCAGGGATTTTTATGAGAGAGTGAGGTAATGTCCAGCTTGCAGAACTTTCATTACAAATTTTTAAACATGAATCTCATCAGATGATAATCGTTTAAACTGTGAACTGACTTGTATGTCTTATGAAGAACTGTACTACAAGAACCTCTATCCTGATCTGACCCCCAACCCTCAGTGAAAATGTTACAATGTATCTATATGCAGGAAAAATGAGATGGAACTAGGGAAGGCCTGAAGCATCCTGTCTCTCACTGTGTTTTTCTTAAACACCCCCACGGACTGCTTCAATTCCCACTTTTTCATTCAACGAAGCGTTTTGACTGGATTCAGTAAAAGTCTGCCTTCCTCCTGAGTTTGATCTCTGGAGCTTTCTCCCAGCCTCTCCACATTTCAGCTCCCAGTCCCGTGTGTTTCTCCTAATGCAGCGGAATGAGTTGTTCGACCTGGATTTTAAATACACTCAATCTTCCATCCCTAAGAACAGCAGAGAATTTCTGTTTGCTTCAATGCTGCAAGTGGGATATTTACATCATTTCTTCCCAGGAGCACCCATGCTGCAAACCAAGATCTATCTCTGCTGTTCACCTTCCTCCATCTCCTCGCACATTGCTCATGCAGCCCGAGCCTGGCTCTTGACTGTCATATCCAGCACTGCCAGGATCATCAGAGTCTTCCATGCTGATAAACACAAGAGATATTTCACAGTCCATGTTACACTTGGCACTTTTGAACTCCATTTCCTGAAACGGTTTCTTCTCTTGGCATCTGCTTCATGACAGTCTTCTGTATTTTTGTTGTTTACTTACCCTGCATTTCTTGTTACTCTTTTTCTTGTCTCCTTGATAGACTCACTGTGTCCTATAATAAAACAACCATTTAATACAGGTGCTTTCTTAAGGTTCAGTGCTGGGGTGCCTAGCTTACTCAGCCTTCCTCCCCATTACTGGCCTCAGTTTCGGGTATGGGGAAGACCCATTCATATACCTCACCAGCCCCTGAGGAGCAGACTCTTGCTGAGTGCTGCCAGTGGTCATCAGTATCGCCTCAAGCTCAGCACATCTGAACCTAGGATCATGGTCATCTTTCTAACCCATTATCCCTTAGCTTTTTAATGGCACTTCTTTCTGTCTCATTGCTAGCTTAAATATGATAGCACTCAAGCCACTACCTTGAGCCACTATCTTATCAAGTGTGAGGCCCTGAGTTAATTCTTGGTCCCTCCCCCAAATAAATAAACAACAATAGTAAGTGCAATTGTTGCTGTTTTTATCATAGAAACTTAGCAAAGTGCTTAACTGTAATAGAATCTATTCAAATACTTGGTAAATGAATGAATAAATAAATGCATAGAACATTTGATTTTTGCTAGCCCTGAAAAGTTAGCAAAAATTGGCAAAGAGATACCAGGTAAGCCAATAAATCAGCATCTTATGACAGTCAATATTAGTCATTCAAGAAACAATTACTGAGCATTTAATGTATTCTAGAGCACAGTCAGGACAAAGAATGTTTCTCACCCAGGAGGCAGAAGTAGGTAAATGAACAGTTATGTCCCCCTAAGCTGTGCTAAAATTGAGGTTCTATGGAAAGGTTTAACAAGATCCTTTCAGCATTAGGAGTTCAGAGGCAACACTTTGGTCATTTGTTGTGTCAAATAATATTGATGTATATATAAGAAATAATCTGGCAGAGAAAAATTATTCCAAACAAGCACAACAGCATATTTAAATGAATAGAGGGAAGAAAAAAATATGTCATAAAATGATATTTTCTAAATGTTTGGCAAACATCAGAAAAAATACTTAACATTTACCTTTTCACTCAATGGTCACTATTTTTAATGTTTATATTCTTATGTAGCTGAAAATATGCAGTCTCTGAGAATAAATAACTTTCCCTAAAATCACAAGCTAACTTTTGCACTGCTTAGCTTTGAAATTAGATTAGGTGAGGCAGACACTGAAATATATTTCTACAGTAGAGTAACTGTAAGTAGTTCACTGTAGCTGGTGCCAGTGTTCGTGTGTATATGTAAAGTAGCAGAGAAAAAAGCCTGGAAAAGCAGATTGAGACAGAAGGTAAACATCTGAGTGTACTCAAGATTTGCAGACACTTTCTGAGGGCCATAGGGACCCACTGAAGATTTAACATGTATGTAGCAGGCTGCAATTCATATGTCTGGCTGCCAGGCAGCCCTGAATCACCAGTGGTATGTGCAAGATTGTCCCATTGGGCAGCATTGAAGAGATCTGTCGGGGACCTATCCTAGAGCCCCAATCTCCCGAACAAATGTTCAGCAAGGGCTTAAATAAGTGAGATAAGTGGTACAATTTTAGGGCTCTAGAAGGGTCAAAACCCTCTACAGAGTTCTAGGACTCTGGTGGCTAAGACAAGGAATGTCTCTGGGCAGCCTGTATTTATTATTTTTTTTCAAATAACACAAGAAACTGAACAGACCCTGGGAGTGGTTCAAGGACTTTGCATGCAACAAATTATGATAACAAGGAGAAACAGTTTAGGAGATCTCCACGATGCAATTCACTACAGGGGTGAAATGCCTGCGGCTACAGTCTTTATTTAGTTAATTGGAGTTGCAGCCAGGTGTCTTCAGCTGTTATCTTATCTTGCCCCAGCCAAGCAGCAGCCTTGCACCCCTGTTCAATTTCCAGTTTCAATGGCTCTCAACACAGACCCATCAGGTGTGTGCCAGTGGTGATTCAAGCTGGCAGGAGCACAGCAAGGTAATGCCATAAATGAATTTGTGTTTTAGAATGGTTGGTTCCTACAACTGTAGCACAATAGAAGGAGAATGAGCAGGAGGACCGTGTCCAATGAAATAAGTAGCAGCCTAGATTGAGAGGAATATAGGTGGTTGGAAGGCTGTATATGTCATTAGGATACACAATCAATGTGCTTTCAGACCCATTAGATGTCAAAAGAGGTTTTGAAATATCTTAAATATTCCTGCCTTGCTCAGTGAATAAGTATTTTACAATGCTATTTTCAAAAGAGAAACAGCAGAAGCAGACTGGTTTACCAAAAGACAATAGACATTTCAAGCATATTACTTTCAGAGTGTAAATATTTAATGCACGATTCAGATATAATGCAGTTTCTGATTTGTCTTCTACCTCTCTGCATCCCCATCTCTCATCAGTCTATCTTTGAGCTTTGCACTCTACCTATGTGAGCTCCATCCTCAAATGTGTTCAACCCAGCTATTCCCTTACTAGGCATCTTCTACAAAGAATAAAGATGTTGTATTACAATGATTCGCACACATCCATGTCTTTAGCAGCACAGTTGATAACAACTGAATCTTGAAAGTGGGCTATCTTTCTATCAGCAGATGAATCGATAAAGAAAATATGAGGCTTTTATACAGTGGAGTGCTGTTGTGCCATAAAGAAGGATAAATTCTGCTATGAAGAGTCATTGGATGAACTTTGAGACCAAAATCTTAATTGTAATTAATTAGACATACAAGCATAAACATGATGTTTTTCCTTTTATGAGAAACCCAAAGCATAAATAAATTAAAAAGCAAAATAAAAGATACATAAAGAGAAACAGGGAGATAGATATTCCACAAGTAGAAATGGGACCAAGAGAAGCAAGTGGGGAAAGGAATGTAAAAAGAATTAAAATGTGTCATGTACGTGTGCCAATGACACACAATGAATGCAATCATTATGTATTGCAAACATGTACTACTAAAAAAGAAAATAAAAAAGGAAAGGTGCCAGGCTTACTCAGTGCCAGATATCAGTATCTGCTCTCTGTGGTCCTGGATTTACTCTAAGGAGAAAGCCCTTCTCTTCTGCCCCTTTATTGGTCCTGCCCTAAATCCCCAATCTCCCAAATGAGTGTATAGTGAAGGCTTAAACAAAATAAGACAAGTGGTATGATTTTAGGGCTCCAGGAGGGACAAAACCTTTTACCTGAGTTTGAGATTATGAGGCCAAAGCAAAGACTTCTCTGGACCACCCATTTTTATTAGGTCCAAAACAAAGGGCGGGGAAACTGAGGAAAGCACAGGCAATGAGCAGGAC